AAAAGAAAAACAGAGGAAAAAAGAATGGGAGAAAAACATCGCCTCATCACTCGGCGATTAGCTGATTGTGCGTGGGTCCTAGAACGAATAATAGCAATCTGTATTGTATCGACACTCGTCTAACGTGACACCGATCGAGGGGCGGGAAAGCGAACAACGGCAGCAACGGGGCTTCCACTATGCCCTAAGCGCCGAGATTGTGGGAGCTAGAGGGACCCTTCTACCACCAATGGGGGCGCTGAGTATTTTCAAAGGAAGAACTCAGTAACCTTTTTTTATCGTGAACCGAGCCTTTAAACTGAACAGATTTAGATTGGGATTATATCTGTTAGCAAAGTACCTTTTCATCTGGTCGGTCAATTCGAAGAACGGCAGAGGAATGCGCGTCACCGAATGGGTTCGTGGCCACGGCCGTGTAGGTGCCACAGAGTCGCTGGGATACCGAAGGGATGTCCAAACACGCCTCTCCGTTATCAAGTGATCGACGACGATAGGATGAATCGGTATGGATCGCTCTGCCGTTGTGAAGCCAGCATAATACGGGGGGAGGGTCTCCTTGCACCTGACAACTGAAGCAGGCGGAGTCCCCTGACTGAAATGACGACGTCAAAATTCACAAGACCAATGGTTAAGGGATCTAGAAAGAGGGTTGAAGACTGAGTGGTACCTGCTTAACGATGATATCTCGAAGTTTTTTGGTAAACACAGGCATATTCGGTAAATGTACAGATGCCTCCTCTTCAACCGTAAGGAACGCACTGGATTCTAGAGCTCCAACTTTGTTAGATACCTGGAAAAGCATTGACTTAGAAACAATCACGACATCTTACCGTCAGAATCAAGTCCATAGTAAATTCAATTTTACGGAGACAAAGTTGAAAGAATCCTTGAAGAATCGATAGTTAGAAATGCCTAGGCGATCACCTTGCAAACATATTTCCCTTGGTGTTCAGGTCGTGCATTATAAATCTTCAAAAAAGCGACTCGTCCATCAAAGTATGTTCTCAAAGTTCGACTTTCAGCCACAAGATTGCCATCGTGGTACCACTCAACCGTAGCGGGGAGAGGGCTGTCTACCTCGAGCTCCAGACGCTCACGATTACCTGAAAGAGACGACCACATTATATGTTAGGATGCCATAACGACCCAAACTGCACCTATGGTTACGACGGCGTCTTCGAGAGGGCGAGTGATCAGCGGAGCACGAAATTCGAGCGATTTATATGACGGCGATGGAGGGCAGGGACTGGTACATCGTGAGAGGGTTGGAGTTGATCGCCCAAAGCTCAAACCTAGAGAGGTTCCTGCACTACGCGTCTACTCATGCGGGACGAACAATGAACTCGAGTAGAGGATCTTACCAATAACTTCGACATGACAATGAGTGAAATCTTTGCCATTCACATTACTGGCTTCACACGAGTATTCTCCAGAATCTTGGAGTACGGATTTCATGATATTCAGTCGAGTGATACCTCTTCGGTCAGTATAGACGAACATTCGGTTTTCTAGCATCAATTTGAGGCCATCTTTGTACCTAAAAAAATGAATCGATCCTATAAGGAAGGTGAGAATGACAGGAGAAGGACATGTATTGAGCTGTTCCATTAATTTTTTGACAATGAGTCAGCCTACCCATAATCGGCATAAACCGAAGCACTGCAAAGATGTAAAGACGTCTTCTAGACAATAAGTCAACAGAGACAGTCTTGCTCTCAGTATCCAAGCATGCAAGCGATATTAGTTACAAAATTTCTGTGCGCAAAGTTTTCCGTGAAAAAAAGTAGTCTTCAAAGAGTCGCTGAATGAACATGGACAGTTCGCATTTTCGACATTTAAGGCACAGTTCACGATAAAAATGGTTTCTGAGTTTTCTCCACAGGATGAATTTAAAGCCCCCGCGTATATCATATCTGGCACTGTTTGGTCGGAAAACGGCCTAGTTAGGGAGTTATAAAGGCTCAAACATTGGCCCGTGTGTATCCTCG